AATAAATTATGATTATGTGAATTTGATCAAAAGTTAAAATAAATATTTATGAAATATTTTGATGCTTTTCATTAGCTTAATAGAAAAGGATCATAGCTCCTCCATTATATTTATCAATTGATATCTTTCATAATACAGAGTTGCCTTCTAGGGTTTGTTGTCTGCACATTCACTCACTCTAAATTGCTGATCGTAGATCAAACGCATTCAATATCAACTCCTAAATGCTTAGTGGCGGCGAAAGATCAATAGGGAGGCAATTTTGGAACGTAATCGACAATATGGTGCTCACTATCTTTCCTTTCCTGCACTCTTCGTGAAAATCTTAAGGAATCAACACACAAAAAACACCCATTAGCTTTAACTAAAAAATCACATTTTTTACTCTGAAATTAAATTATTAATCAATTTATCGATACAAATATTTTTATGTGAGTAAATTTGTTGTGTTTGGTTTGTTTTATACAGATTGATATCTTACTTCCGGTGTGGAGCGATGTTAGTAATCAAGTTGAATTATTAACGAAGCGTAAGTGCATTACGAAGATTTTCTTCGTCATTTCCGCCTACCGAGTGCTCCACATCCAAAAATTCATTAATTTACTCAACTTGAACAACGGAAGTTCGATATTTATTTTTATGAATATCGAACAATTTGATTTTTTGTTATAAATTTTTTCCCTTGAGATATTATGCTATGAACATAGAGTATAAGGTATAAATATTTCATATGCGAATATGACGCACAAGCTGGAAGGAGTTCAGCTCACAGTCGGAAGTGGTCTGATGCAACGACGGCGACGTTGGCAGTTGTTAAATGAGCGTTTTACGTGTTATAAATTTAAATTCAACCAACTCCCCTACCGCGCCGTTTGCGTTTTCCACCTCCTGTGCTCGTTGCTTCCCGGTTTTACATGCGCTTTGTTCTTTCCGGCATCATTCCGGGAAGTCATGCTGCACCACTTCAGCCCTCCTACACTCCGACACACTCACGCCACGCGTGTCATAAAATGATTGTTATGCTTCTAGCAACTTGAATATAAAAAATATGAGAAAACGTTCTTTTTGATAGAGAATGGGAGTTTTTCTTCATATTTTGCAACGATATCTATGCGAAACGCGTTTGACACTTAATTTTTTTGTTTGCAGTTGTGTACGAGGTGATTACATGAAAATCTTCACACATCTTGAAGGCGGTGAAGTGAACGAGTACACGCCGTGGACGGCGTTGTTGTGTGGTGGACTGACAGATATTCCAAATGTTTTGTACTCTTCCGGTTCGGGATTGGTACTGGAGTTTCATTCCGGTGCACGGACGTCGAATTCGACCGGATTTGCCGGCACGTTTCGCTTCATCGACAAAAGTAAGTGCTCAAGTGTTAAATGTTTATGCTAACGATTTTCCTGTTTTCAAAAATACAAAACAGGAAAGAAATTGCGCATTCCTTGAAAACAATAAGTCCTAAGACATATTTTTAAATAATTATTTTAATAAATTAAGGATACAATCAAAAAAAAACTTCTGCATCTAAATAAACAGCTCAATGCCTAAATTTTATCCGGAATCTCAGGATTGCGAAAAGGGCAAAACGCTAAACCGCATTCAAAGTTGTCGCCTGCGGTTGCACACCCGGGTGGGGTGGTTATGTACAATGTGCATTTTAACCCCGGTTGCGGCGACAACGGAAGCTGAAAACTGAAACACCAAATGAGAAACGCGCTTTCGGGCCATATATAACGCTGCTGTGCATAAAGTGAAAAGCGCGGCACGTACGCCCACAGCTTTCGTTCTGCGCGTTCTTCGGAACCGCTCTTTTCACAAGTCGACGCGCGCTACCCCAGAGTGCAACGCGGTTGCATTCATCCGTCCTGGAAGCGGGTTTCGAGCACCACAGTTATTTGCTTGTCTTATGCCAGCTATTTCATTCCAAATCCGGATTGCTAAATACTCATACGAAATAATAACTAGGATATACAATACGAAAAGTTTTGTGGTAGAAAATAAAATTATTCATGTTTAAGGTTAACTATTTATGTAGAAATTTATTTTATAACAGATTACATCGAAAATGAGAATATTATCTAGGGTATTATATGCGCTGCGTATTATTGCACTTTATGAAACTGAATCAACGTTAAACTCGCATAAAATTCGGCAAAATAGTCGCATCCAGAGAATGCGCTCGGGTTAAAAGTGGTTGTGGTGAATTCGCGGTTGACATTTACGATTTTAATGATGGGGCACACAGTTCCGCAAACAGGAACCGCCAGTTCAACTGAAATGCACTCAATAAACCAAGTGTGAGTGCAAACACTCTGTTTCCACTGCATGAGTATTTATCGTGTGTTTTAGTTCAGTAATATATGATAATACAGTCTCAGAAAATAAATTAAATTACAACCATATGAAAATAATTTGTTTTTGTGTTTTTCTCAGCATTAAGCTGGTTATCAATGAAATATTTCAATTATTTGTTAGAAAAAAAATTTTGTTTGTTGATTTTGTTGTATTTTTCTTATTATTATCAAACACCATCTTTTGAGCTGTAAAACCACATCACAGCACATGCCACACATTGCGAAGATCTAAAGAAACGAACTCTTTTGATCTTGCAAGCGATAACTTGTTTTCTTGACTTGGCTACCGCCGGTATTGAAAATTCATGCTTTAATGCTCGCTCGAATGCTGTTTGAAGACTTTCCAAATGAAAGCAATATTTTTTCTTGCAATATTTTAAAAATACATCAAAATTGATTCCGTTGCGATTTCATATATTTTAAGATTTCATAATAAAATTAATATTTCTATAAATGTTAAGAAATTTAAAGTGCACTTGTACCGGAAACTATAATTAAGTTTTCATTAAGTTAAAACTCAATTACAACTTTCCTCCCAACAATTCTTAACTATTCTGAAATTTTAATTAAATTAAAATTAAAATTTTCCTCTGGTAGCAATAAGTTTTGCGTTATTCTTGCTTCAATCTCTGTTGACTCAAATATTCTTTTCGTGATGCTGGCAAGTTTTGTTCAGTCTCTATGTGCCCTCAAAGAAACCCTAATAACAGTAAAGCTAATAACCGTAACCATAAGATTTCGCTTCCTGGGCGGGCAACTTTTGAGGGAATCTCGGCTCACATCAACCTTACTGAAAGGAGGCATAGCATGTACACTTACTAGACGTAGGTGCTTGAAGAATTTCCCACCGTATCATCTACATTTCGTTTTATGGAGTTTTTTAGGAAGTGAAGGGAAAATATTTTAAATTTTTGGCAATTGTGTAAGATACTAAGTTAGCACGCAAATCAGGCAACATTACATTGCAAGAAAACATTTTTAACATTAGTTTTAGTAGAGTTATTGATAAATAATTAGTTTGACATTGTTTTAAACTGCCAAACACCAATAATTTCCATAAAAAGTTTAAAACTTTAAAAGGTTTACAAAATGTATATAATTTTTAATTTTTAAGGATAAAAAATGATTTTTCTACAAATTATCTAAGCAAACACAATAAAAATTAACAAAATACATTTTCTATCAAAAATTAGTATTTCTGATGAAATTGAAATTCTGATCTATTTGACGAGTTATCTAATAAATGTAGTATTTTCCGGTTATTTACAAGCACTTGGTGAAACCAAGTCGGGTACGTCGCATAGATCAAATGCACACGTTTGCTCTCTCGTGTGTTGTTTATATGTTAGCGGTGTTGGGCGCGAGTTGTGTGGGTGGTGCCGGCCCTCAGCCCGATGCTGGATTTCATTGATATTACGTTTCGAGCGCCTCGACGTCCGGGCGTCACGTCTGCGATTATAAAACGCATCACGTATCGTGGGCAAGTGAAACTAATAAATTTTCACTCTTCGCACACTTTACACGGGCCATCCATCGCCACTCTCGTCTCATTCCCCGCGTATGTACTAATATAAACGTTTCACAGACAAGATGGAATCTTAAATTTAGTTATCATGTAATCATCAAAAGAAAAAAACAAAATTTTGATAGTAAAACATTTTAATTTTAACCAAAAATTGTAATTTTATATAAAGCAAAAGTTTTGCTCATATTAATATTGAAATTTAAATTTTTTTTTACTGATTTTAATTGTTTTTATTAAAAAAAATAGAAGCATACTGTATAGTAGAAAACAATAGGTTGTCGTGGAATAATTGAGAATTCCCCTGCCGACTTGAACCCGAAATCGAAAACCAAAATGAAAACGCACCCTGTTTAAGCATGCCTATCACGTAATTTGCTTTTTGGAGGCCTCTACAATAGAAGCCCGACAAAAAGCGGCCGCCCTCAAATACACCAGCAACAAAATATATATATGAAAACCCAAAACAGCCAAATAACGAATTTATTACCTACTTCACACATATCAACAATTTTCACTGATTCCATAAAGCATACAAATTTCACGCACCGAAATATCATTACATTCGTGTGGATTTTTCACGCAAGTTTTTAGTAAAATTGAAAAATATTGTTGTTCGCCTAGGCTTTTGTTGATTCTATCCTGTGGACCTACGGTTATTTACATTTTTCGGTCATAGTCGTCGGCCCCGAGAGTATAGCCGAACTAAACTTTCGCCTCTGCAAACAGAAAGTTTTTTTTCTCGCGTAGGACGCAACGGAAGAGATCGGGATGTTTGAATGCGCGGATGTTCGAATGTTTGTTTAGACGGACGCTTGGATGAGCGCGGCGATAGGAATTTCCGCGCAAAAATATCCCGGCTGACATTCTTGGCCGTCCCATTGCAGATCCACTTCCGTTCCCCATTCGCATGCAGACAAGCAAAGCCAGTGGAATACTGAAGCTAAGATGTGCATTCACATTCAGTGTTACGGAGATATTCCAAAGGAAAGTCACTTACATAAACATGATCACGCATAATGATGAAGAAAAAAAATCTTCGTTTAAAACATTTATTAACAAGAAAAATCATAGAAGGAATTTTTTTAGGTTTATTTATGTTGAAATAGTTTAGTAAAGTTTATAAAGTTGAATGTGACGCTAATAAAACGTCCTGGGCATATTCGTCGTCAATGTCCATCTCGAGGAAGTAACTTCCGGTTGCATTTTCGGGCATCCGTGCACCAAATAAGATCCGTGCGTGTTCATCACACAAACCATTTTGGTAATCCACCCAAGAATTGCATTTTGTTGCCATGTAGTTATTAACAATCGAAGCAGTAAAATAATGATAGGATTTATGATGACTACAATAAACTAAAACCAATACAAAATCAATTAAAAACACAAATCAACATAATTAAAAAAATTTATCTTACAATCATTCATATAAGCTTGAAGTCTCTCAATGGGATTCTCACTATCAGTAGAATAACATCCGGGTTGCCATCGCTTGCCCCCATTCGGATAAAAATCAACGTGACCCAGTGGCAACTCGCATCCAAGCACACCCCCGTCGGTATGAATAACATCAACTATTTGTGCATCTTTCCGCGAGAGTCTCATCGAGTCCGGGTTGTTTTCAAATAGCGGAGCAGCCGGATCCAACGCCGAAATTCTATGCACCTTTTCACCTGTTACTTCAATTACGCGCTTGCCTACAAAACCGGAAACTTGTCCACCCAGTGAATGGCCAATCACATGCACACTGCTCATTGGTATACTGAATTGTTTGGTTATTTTTATCAAAAAGTCTCCTACGTAATTACCTTTAAAATTAAAAAAAATTAAAAAAAATTAAATAAAATTAAAAATAATTATTATTAAGGTGTCTTACCAACATTACGCACTGAATTAGCTGAAGCCATGTAGTTTTGACCAGCTAATGCAGAATAATCCACTCTGATGACATAACAATCCATCGATTGAAGAAAAACTTGCGCCATGTCGATGTAATGCGTTTTATTTGCGTTTTCTGTCCATCCATGGATGATGAACTTCAATGGGATGTCATTTTTGAATTGATAGGTTGCTACGTTGTCCGGAGTTGGATTCCTACCAGTTTGTCGCGTGTCCAAATAAAAGTTAGCTGGTTCTTTTTGTGTGAAAACCGCGGTGATGCAAAGAATAAATAAAAATATAACCAAATTCATTTTAAAATAACTTGCAACTTGAAGTATATAAACTAAAATGTAAAAGTTGTGCGTTTGACTGAATATTTTAATAGTGTAAATTTTAATGAAGATTCTAAAAAGCTTCGGCGGAAAATGATTCTTTGTTGGCAAAGTTACAAAGGTATGCGCCCTTCCAGCTCGCGTAAATATTTAATAAAGAAATGTTTTTCGTGTTTGCGCGCTGCGTTTTATGACGTCGGCACGTCACTCCGCTGTCCGCTCAAACTTTTATTTATATTTTATGATTTTTTATAGTTCACGCTGTCAGCAACAGTGGCGTTAGATTTTCTTTGCGCACCGCACTCGCGCTCTTCGCCGTCGATTTGCTGCGCGGAGGCGGGTATTTATGCGTCCGAGAGCGAAATTACCTTAACGCCCGTTTCACCGCTTTTTATCTAAATGGTAGTTTTATGTCCCGAAACGTTTATGCAAATTGTTTTTATAGAACATTAGTGTTGGCTTACTTCTTGGAGTTTTTATTTTCCTTCATTTAAAATTTCTCATTTTTTGAATTGATTTTATAATTTTAATTTTAATGTAATGTTTAAAGTCAATGAGATATTTTAAAATTCATTTTTATATTTTCGATTAAAACTTGGTTTTGAATGTGAATACGTTTTGAATATTTCAATTTGTTTTTAGAATATAAAGAGCAAAGCAATGTCGCGTTGAAGAGCGCTATAAATTTGTTTCTTTGTTTCCTTTTTTCTTTCTTCCAAACAAAGAACTTGAATGCTTGACGTGAAGGTGAAGCAAAAAATGTATCGAATGATAAATTGCTACAAGAAACTTGCATTTACAACATTTATTTTGTTCTATTCATGAATCAAAATGAATAGATTTAAACTTATCATATGTACGAATACAGTTAATTATTTAGTTAACATGTAATTTGCATAAAATTGTTGTTGAGTAAATAGTGCAAATAATTGTTTTAAAAGTGACAATTTAAATTGCGCTTGAAGCAATTTATTTCGCAGTTTGAGTCGTTTAGATTAATTTTATGTCTTTCACACTGCAAATCATTTATTGTGGATTAATTAAAACTCGGTAGTTAGTTGGGTGGCATCGCCAGCAAAGCTTAAGTTTACGAAGTGATATAATACGGCCATTCCGCTTGAGTCGCGAAGAAGAATTTGCCTCTTGCTGTTCTGTCGGCGTTCTCGCCGAAAACAATTTTCTGATTAGCATCGCAGAGTTTAGCCTGGAAGTCTAGCCATGAGTCGCATTTCGTCGCTTTGAAATTATCACTTAGAATTGCTTCGGTAAAAAACAATCTTGACAACATATGACTACACAAATCTAAAATTAATAATTTTAGAAAACGCTTACAAAATTAAAACAAAAATTGCATATTTTACTATCAACTGAAATTGGTGGTTGCCATCCATCTAGAAGTGGAATCTCCGGTAAAACTTCAGTGGGTTCTGTGTATTCGCACCCTGGTTGTAATACATCCCCAGCATTAGGGAAATAATCAACATGACCAATACTTTCCATAACACCCGTTGATAAATCTGTATGCAACACATCAACAAAATTCGCATCGCTAGCATCTAATTTATTAGCATCGTCAATTAAAACACTCTCAAAACCAATTCTAGTCGGTTGCAAAGCTGTGATTCTTCCGATTTTTTTCTTTATTAATTTATTTACTGCATGCCCAACCATTCCAGCAATCTGTCCACCAAGAGAATATCCGATGATGTGAATATTCTCAACGGGGATTAGATTCACAAGATTTAACCATTTTATAAAAGCAGCTAAATATTGAGCTAGAAATAAAACATATAAGAATTTTTTATAAAAAATTTTGTGAAAATTAGTTTTACTTAGATCTGGTAGTGATCTATATGTCTCTACAAATGTTTCTGTATACGGATAATCAACAGCAATGACATTATAGTCTTTCTGAACGTATTTTTCGATTATCTTCATATATCCCGCAGTAACACTGGACCCACGAAATCCATGAACAATCATTTTTATCGGTTTGTCACGCTGCAGTTGATACGAATTCAAATGTGTGATTACTGCGCTCTTTTGTAATGTAAACATTGTTAACGTGGCCTTCGGATTATTCAAAATTACTGTTGAATTCACTGCAAACATATTTTATTGTTTTATTTTATTTCGAACAATAAATATTCACAATATTTATATTCATACCATAGTGATTTATAAAACACAGAAGAAAAATTACACGTAAAATGTTGATAGTCATTTTTATTTCGTTAAACTGAGCATTTTTTGATGAAAAATTATGTTTTAAACAAAATTAAGTTTAATTAGGTTATCTACACATATTCATAACACATGTTATCAGAGATTTAAGTAGATTTACTAAAAAATAAACAAAATGTGTTAGTTTTGGATTTATCTCCTTTTTAAAATTCGCTTGTTGCTAATTTTAATTGCCGGCTTGAAACGACAAACGGTAATTGCATTTATTCATTGCAAGCAATTTAGATAATAAAGTGGAATTTATCAAAATGTCAACAGTGGCAATTACGCCCGCCATAAACCCACGTCGCGTTGCAATTACGATGCGCGCTGTTAAATTTTTATTTCGCGATCGGAATTCCGGCGATAAAATTTCTAATAAACATATCATAATAAATAAATCCATATATAAAATAAAATCTATTAAATAAATATCACATCCTGGATTTAAAAGGATTTTAAAATTTATTATTGTATTAACAAATTATCCTGTTTTATTTTATTTTATTCTATCAAAAATTTTATTCAGAAATGATAATAGCCAGAGTAGTTAAGTTGACGTACGCATAATCGAATGTTTTCTGTTTACTTAGCTTGTGAGCTAGATGGAGGTGGTAATTGGCGTAACAGGATAGTGCGGCGCGCGTAAGCTAATCAGGAAGTGTTCGCAGGATACACGGTTACGTTGCGAGAGCTTCACACCGCAGGAGGTACTGATGGTGCAAACTGAGAAACCGGGTTGATGCATTTCCGTCACATCCGTCTCGTCTCTCATGACCCAACACTCAATAAACCACTCTATATAACCCCGTGGATAAACTTTTGCATCAACTCTAATACAATCGACCACACTTGATATTAACTTAGTTTCTTGCATCAAAACATATTTTTATTTGCTAGTTGCATGACGCATTTGTAAATTAAATAAAAAAACATGAAAGAACATAATTCGCAACTGTTGTAAGTTTCGCACAGGCGAAAGCAATAAATATCTGCGGCGTAATTAAAAACAAATTGACTTTCATGCAGATTTATTGCCCGTCGGCATGAAAACCAACACATTGTTCCAGGGTTCGTGTCGACACGACCCGCAAGCAAAGCGCAATTGCGCTCGACGTCGTTGTACGCCGCGTTTTTGTAGTGGTTGCATTTTCAATTCGTGTTTGCTTGCAACTAGAAACGACACAACAATACTGTTTTCCTGGTCATGTATGCACTTTGGTTAATTTTGAGTTCATTGATTTTGAGGGTTGAACCAACAACCGACCCAAAAACTGTATAAACAACTAAAAAAACATTTTTTTAAATTTAAAATTTTTAATTAATTGAAAGCTTTTAAGAGTAAATATTATATAGACGTGTACGGTGGTGTTGCTGTGGTGTTGAAGTAGTAAACACCAGTAGCATTTCGAGGCATATCCTCGCCATATATCAACTGTTTGGTGCCGGGCGTGAGACACATTCTGTTCTGGATGTCCCAATCCAAGCACTCAAGTCCAACAAGTGCATCGCTCAAGACAATCGACTGTGCAAACAGTTGGAGACTTCTCGCGTGCGAGCAAACATCTAAAACATGTTTCAACAAATCTCTTACAGACATAGACATAGACAATTTTAATTTTTAACACCTTTTCCATGATACGGAATAATCCATCCATCCCAGAGTGGAATATTATCAATTAAAGGACGTAAATTGACAGCATCATCACATCCAGGTTGAGGTGCATATCCATGATTAGCGTAAAAGTCAATAGTTCCTGACGGTTCAGTCACACCAATTGTTTTGGTATCAGTATGGATGATATCGACTATTTCCGCGCTTTGATTAGTGATTTTATAATAGGGTTTTACAAGAATACTCGCAAAACCCATTTTTGGTGGATCTAAACTGCTGATTCTACCTAGTTTTCGGCCGTTTGTTAAGTTTGTATAAATATTACCCATTCTTCCGACCATTTGGGCACCTAGGGAGTGTCCGATCAAGTGGACATTTCCAGGTGGTATACCCAAGAAATTTAATAATCGGATAAACTCAGCTATGTACTTTTCTAAACAAAAATTATTTTTTACAATTTTTTTTTTAATTTTAAAATTTTAATTACCAACTTCCGGGATACCAAAATAACACTCCTCATAGCTCGAAAATGCTAGCTGAGGATAATCAACCGTTATCATACTAACGTTCCCCTTTTCCACGTAATTGTTAACGATCACGCTGAACAAATAATCCGTGTTGTGCTGACGATAGCCGTGAACGAGCATTTTCACGGGCAGTTTTCGGTCGATCTGCCACACGTTGAAGAAGTTTAGCGAGCCGTTGAGGCTCGCTGAGAAAATGTGCAATTCTGCTATGTCATCTCTGAAGAGAAACGGTTGTGCTAAAACACAAGAAAACATGTTGGATACAATAATCGTGCTGTATTGTACAATATTAGATTAATTACCCTGAACAATGTAAAAATACAGGAAAACACTTACAACTACTTGAACAACACATTGGTTCATTTTTCTTTTCTGTTTAATTAGCGACAGTGTGCGAACCAATAAAACAACAGAGGAATATTCATTAATGTAGTCATAACATTGAATATTTTTATGGTTGCTTCAAGTAATACTGGTTTTTAATCATTTTGTCCTTTTGTTTTATCAATTTCACTGTAAAGCATGATAAATAAATGCTTGGCTGGCGCGCAAGCAACGTTATTTTATCATTAGAAGGTACATTTTACAAGATTAACGACTGGATTATAAAATAGAGAGACACTATGAAGACTAATGCGCGAACACGTTTTGTAAATTACTCTTGCCGTGCTTTGGGTGGATGAAAACTCGAAACTAATAACTTTTTAAATACGATGTAGTACGGACTTGGCTAAGATTACACTGGACATAATTCTTCAATTTTTAAAAACTTTTTCCTAACATGATATTCATGATATTCTCCACATTCATTAAAAAATTTAATTTTTTCATTTGTGAGAGAAAAATTTATGAAAATCCATGAATAGATTCATTTATATTTGAATTTTGTATAAATCCACTTATTCATTGAATGTGAGTTCTTTTTTCTTTTCCTGTTCCGCGTTCCTCTTCCTTTTCCTTTCTGCATTTTCCGCAATTCTTCTCTCATAAGTGCGTGATTTATCGCCAATGATAATGCACGTTTGTTGCGCCGTGAAAAACGTAGAAAAAAATTATGCACCCTGGACGGTACAGGATGTGGGACCGGAAGTGCGAGGCAGCAGGCGGAATAGCTCCGTAATGTGGTGTTTATAAAAAACAATCAACGCACATTAATATTAATAATAACTGAGCGTGTGGATGATAAAACGGGAAATATGGAAATTCACATCAACTCATTCATATTTTTAAAAATATAATTTAATAAGTTGTGCTGGTTTAGGTTGTGATTGACGCATTGGCGCCTCCACCATTTAAAACAGTTGCAACCATCTTGAAGCAGTTTGAAGCACTTTGAAGCGCTGAAACCCCTTGAAATAGGCGAAGATTAAAGAAATTAATTAACTTCTCGCAGTTATGCGCGGTTTTAATGCGGTGCTCGACCAAACCTTGCGTAGAATGTCTGCGCAGGCGGAATCTAGCGCAAATTTGTAGTAATTTCACCGCTTTGCGTCGCCTCCACGCTCAACATAGTGGCACATTGTGTGCACTTAAAATCATGTTAACATTCGTTTTAAATGTTAATAGTCTTTTTGGTTCTCGCACGCGTCGAGCGTATTTACGGCGCGTTTTGCGAGGCTGTTAAATTTTCATCGCGAGAGATTTGCTTCTTAGTTAAAATACTTTAGATGGTACTTGAAACAGAACATTATTTTTATGTTCTAGTAAACTTCAAAATCAATTACTATCAAGCTCGTAAAACAAACATTAAATATTTGTTTTTCAAATGTTTTTATTTTATTTTTAAAAATTTTATTTTTTGTATATTTTATATTTTATGATATTTAACCTCTGTTGTTAAACTTTGATACTTCCTTTGAAGCTCTAAAAGTTTCCAAGTATTGACTTGACCCTTCTTAGATTTTAACTAACAACTTTGCAACTTTAGGGTTTTGGGTTTTGACGTTTTGTCCAAACTGATGAAGAGTGCAAAGACCGCCTTCCTCATTGCGGTCTTTAGCACATCAAAACTTGGTCTCATATCTCATTCCGCAACGAATTTCCTTGCTAATGAAAGCCTTCAGATTTCAATGAATCCCTAGTAACTATAGAGAGAATCTTCTAAATTTCTAAATGTTGGAGATGTTGTAGATGCTGTCAAGATTGTAAATTCTGCATGTTGAATCTAAAGGGATGGTTGATGCACGATTTGTACATCCCGGGGTTATAGAGGAAGGTTAACTAGGGGAGTAGGACGTTACGCGACAATATGTCGACCAGTTGGGTATAAAGGTTATAAGGACGTTGGATATGGGAGGGTGCGTGGGTTATTGGAATATTGTTTGCATCCTGCATGCGGGTAGGATGAAAACAAGCAAGATGTGAAGGGAACAGCTCGAGCCGTAGAGTGATGTTGATGTATACGCAAAGATGAGCAGACGGAAACACTAGATCCTTAATTTTAGACCCAAGACTGTGGGATGATGGCTGAAGGCAGAAAATACAACACCTAAAACTTAAAATGGAGAAGCCACAACCCGAGACCGACTAATTAATTAGTCTATATATAGCAGACTAACTGGATATTATACACATAAGACCAAAACTGTTTACATAATCTTAACATTTAAATTTTTGATTGAAATTTTGATTTTTTCTTTAGAAAATGAAATTTTTAGTATTTCTGGGTATTAAGTGTGTGATTCCAGTCAACTTTTGTTATTGCCTAAATAAAAAGCGGGCTTTGTAAATGTGTGGGTGTGCGGTTTATTTATTACGGCATTGGAAATTCGCTAAATTCGACTTCGTTTCGCGCTTATTGCCTTCGCTGCTTTGGCGCTTTCATTATTGCCGACCGGAGCGGCGCGCCCGAAGTGGAATTGCGCATTTTCCACTCGGCGTGCTATTTCGTGTGGCGACGGTGGCAGCGGTGGATTCACAACCGCCACCCCCTGCCTATTGCTCTAATGCACTTTGATTTACAATCAAGTATTGCTACTAGCTGAAAAATAATATCCAAAATAAGCAAAAATTTTGTCGTCTGTGTTTACAAAACAAAATTATTATTAAAAATATAATTTTGTATTTTTTACATGTTTATACGTGATTCTCAATTCAAATTAACGACCGATTCGCGTTCGTGGCGGCAATGTATTCATTCCGGATAATATATCACATGCACACTCACATTCTCACTTTTGTAGCAGGTTAACAAAAAATAAATAAATTACGCATGCGTGTGTTGCGCACTCGCTTATATTCATACCCACTATTACAATGCGATACTTAACTAATTAATTCCGTCGTATATATATAATTGCTTCTGAAATATGCTCGTTAACCTCCTACGTATACTCGAAATTTATCGCAAGTGTATGCGTATTTAGATTGAGTATCTAGAACTTGTACAACCTGTAATTTTAACGCGAGCGTAATCAACATCAACATGAATGCAACCCGAATGCGAACAAAAATATCAATATCTACAAGTTAATTATTCATGCTTTTTACGACGTTATATTATTTGATATTACAATGCGGGCACAGTTATACTCGTATACTTGCACAAATCATAATTATCTTGCAGATTACCAGTGTGTAACTGACAAAAATTAAAAACATGAACGAAGCTTATAAATAAGGATTTACCTATTAACATACAAGCGGTGCTATTAAGAGATTAACATATCTCGGTACTTAATACTTGGTTACAACGATAATGAGGTGTATGTATTAAAATATGTTAATGGAACACATTTTTTTTCGAATTTTGAATAAAGGTAAATAAAAAAAATTGGGTCATGAGTTAAAATGTATTAAATAGGAGTTTTAGTCACCCCATGACTAAAGCCCGTGACTAAAGTAGTTTAGTCACGGCCTTGGCCGTCTGGGTTAGCAATACCATTTTTTGTGTCTCAGAAACGTAAAAAACCCAAAAAATTTAAACACAAATTAATTATTATTACTAAGTGAGTAACGTAATTAATCAATTTAAAATATATCGACGTTTTCATTTACAATCATTCCCCGATGGGTGGCTTGTAAGCTAAGAAACAGCCGCCTTTACCTACGCACTAATTAAGACCTTAATGATTCAATTTTAATTTAATTTTGTTTGTTCACACGCCGCCGGCGGTGACGCGCTGACGCGCTCTGCCAACGACGTCGGTGGCGAAATCAACGCACGGCGCTGTTGACACGCCGATTGACGATTATAAATGAACGCCGAAATAAACGCAGCGGTGTGGTTTAATTTTAAAAGCCTTCAAACGCACGCGAATCATTGTTTCCCGCAGCATGCGCGAAGATGTGTGTTTGCAGGTTGGCGTTAAACGCTTTAATTTCATTACTCACGTCACGGCTGGTAAAATAAACGCCACTGAAGTTTAGTGCTTGGCTTGGCTTGCTACCAGAGAAAAGTATGAAGGTGGTAGAATTTAGATTTTCAATTTTCAGCTCGAAATTTCCTGCTTTTCGTTTTGCTTTACGCATCCCTTCGCTACGGTAATAATTTCAATTAAATTGAGACGATGCCTTATTCTGATTATCTCTCGCTCGTTAATATTAACGATTAAATGTTATTAATGGTGATTACGTACCACATTTTGCAATTTTCTAACGCCGAATTAATTAAATTCTAATTTTAATTTCACTTTTATTTTTGGTGAAATTTTTAGTGTTGATAATTTAACCGCTAATATGTTTCAATTAATCTTTTAATTAACTAGCCGCCGCCGACGAGCAGACGCCACGCGTCGAACAAAACCCGGCTGCCGACAACTGGGGCGCGCAAACAACCCCCGAACGAAAAACAGCGTGCGCCGCTATAAATTCGCTCCCAGAACGAGCCAATCCAAATTAAACGTGTTGATGAAATAATAAATTAATTAATTGTAAGACGCCGAACATTAAATTAAAAACATTTTGATAAGTCTCAATTTAATTAAAGGATAATTCGATGGTTGTTAGCCGAAGATCTGTAATCAATTTAAGTTTCGTGTTAATTTTTTTGTTTGAAAAAGTTGAAAAACTTTGATTTTATTTCTCCGGTTGCTGGAATAGTTTGTTAGAACTTTGAACTGTCTTGCAGCGCGTTGCCGAGTCTTGGCGCATCTCGGAAGGACAATAAAACTCCAATCAACAGATTACACCCGCGTGCTTATCGCCTTTATACGAATTCGACTTGTTTTTGGCTCCTTGGCGTCCTTTGCGAAGCGAAGCGGAGTTTATTCGCTTTTTTTTTCGAAATTCAGTCGCTTTTACGCTATCGTAGGTACAATATACGATACGTTACAAAAGCGTAACAAGTCTTATTACTTTTGTTACGTTTGTCGCTTTTGTTGATTTTCTTATTCCGAGAGAAACTTAACATCTTCAATGGATCCTGTTACTTTGACGCATCTACTTCTTTATCCTCTTAAACTGGTTTATTCGACAATGTAATTT